CACTGATTGGCATATCAAAGACAGTCCAATCCGACACCTAGTGCAGTATCATAATCGAGTCTAGGGGTCAGGTGTAACTTTCCAGTTTTGCCCACTAATCACCAAGGTCCAGGGCAATACTGAAAATCTGGTACGGTTCAGGGTTTCAAGTAAACCTACACTGCATGTACCTCGGGTCTCACCCTGACAGCTGAGACAGGTCACCCCAACACTTGGTGGCACATCAGTGTCAGTCTTAGTAGGATAAATCTCCTCAGACTTATCCAACGACTGTGAACATTCTAAACTAACACGAGTTTAAGGGTATTACACAGAAATACACCATTATAACATTAATCAAATATGCACTTTATTCATTTACAATAAATGTCATAATATACACCAATCTGATTGGAACTAAGGACATACACTATCTAACAATAGCTGTGAAGAAGAAGGCGGATTACGAGGGACAGGACCAGGAGGGAGAAGATGAATAGGCGAATCAGTAGAATCCTTTTTCTCCTCCTCCATTTCATCTGCATCCCTTAAAGCAGAATCCCGTTCATCAGCTTCTAGTTTATAGGATCCTCTCTACCGTTAACAATCCCAACACCTAAGCCCACGCAAAACCCTAGATCTTTGGCGCTAAGCTTATGACTCTTGTCCGCAAAAGCAAAAGCGTTGGAGGCGTCTCCCAAGTTGAAACCCAACTCCATCTCTTCTTTCGTACAACACAAGAAGAAATCCTCCGCCACCGTTCTTCATCGGTTAGTTATTTCAGTACTCATTATTCAAAAGGGTAAAATGGGGTATTTGGAAAATATTAATGCATAGCTAAATGTTTTCCGTTACAGAAGGAGGTTTTTATCAATTTTTTTTTTTTAATTCAGAGGAGGTTTTTATAATTGTCAAAAACTTCAAAGAAGGTTTTTGTATTTTACCCATTTCTTTTTCCTCATCAGGATGCTCTACTTTCAATACAGGTATAGCAAATTAATAAGCGAAAAACCACGTGTAGTCTCTCTGGTGTCGGTGGTTCCTATTTTGCTTACTTCATGTGTCATGATCTGATGAAAAAGATGCAAACGGAAATCCCCACTGCTCTGCTTGGGTGGTGTGCATTTCCATTATTATTTATAGTAAATATAAGAGCGAGGTTTCTAGGAGCATTTGTGTGGAAGGCTCTCAACCGTCTAAATGCTTACTGTTATTAGGTGGGGCCTCAGTGACAATTGTATTGTGGGTATGGTTTTTGTCCTCCATTACAACACTCGACAGAGGAGGTCAGAGTCATTTCAGCAAGTGTGTGAATCTGAACTCTTTCGAAATTCCACTTTGTGGCGTAGGAATGCCTGAATCTGAAACACTTTCAATGTCCACTCTTCCTGTTTTAATTTGTAGTTTAAGGTGCATCTGTATGACTGTAATGGGGTGAGATAAAACAAACCCAGAAGAAAAAGCATAAAGAAAGAGTAGTACTAGACAATTAAGCTAGAAGGCAAAGTAATAACGCTAGCACACTGCAGAGAGAAAGAGAGAGAGAGAGAGAGAGAGGGAAGATGGATGGAGAGCTAAAGGGGTTGATCAAGGTATGCCTATCAGTTCTTGCATCTCTATCCTATTGCCATTTCATTGTGTCAAAGATCCCCAAAGGAAAGCTCAGACTCCTCTTCCTTGTACCAATCTTGTGTATTTTTACCCTCCTCCCGTCTCTTCTATCCAGCGTTCATCTCACAGCAGGTTCATGCTTCCTCATTACCTGGTTAGCTAACTTCAAGCTCATCCTCTTCGCTTTTGATCAAGGCCCCTTAGCATCCCACCCACCAAAATCATTTCTCAGTTTTGTCTCCATAGCCTTTCTCCCCATCAAGATCAAACATGACGTTGACGTCCCATCACCTACAAATAATTTAAATCTCAAATATTGCAAATCAAACCCATCTCCTCCTCATTTCACCAAAGGCAAAAGTGGTACCAAATCACCTCTAAAAAATTTATCTATAAAAGCCTTGCTCTATGCAATCTTACTCCGCATCTACGACTACAAGCAATATCTGCATCGTAACTTGGTCATAACCCTTTATTGCTGTCATGTTTTTCTTCTGCTAGAATTCCTTCTAGCTCCCGCTGCTTTCCTGGCTCGAGCTTTGCTGGGACAAGAGCTGGAGCCGCAATCGGACGAGCCCTACCTTTCCACCTCCCTTCAAGACTTCTGGGGAAGGAGATGGAATCTCATGGTCACCAGCATTTTACGGCCTACCGTATACGACCCTATGCGGTCTCTTTCCGAGCGTGTCTTTGGGAGGAAGTGGGCATCACTGCCGGCGGTGCTGGCCGCTTTCTTGGTGTCGGCCCTGATGCACGAGCTCATATACTATTACGCCACCCGTGCGGCTCCCACCGGCGAAGTCACGTGCTTCTTTTTGCTCCACGGGGTATGCACGGCGTTGGAGACCGTTGTGAAGAACGCCGTTAAAGGCAGGTTGCAGTTGCACCGGGCAATTTCGAGGGCGTTGACCCTTGGGTTCGTGGTGGCTACCGCCGTTTGGTTGTTGTTCCCGCCGCTGGTACGGAATGGAACGGACACAACGGCGATCTGGGAGAGCCGTGCTGTGATAGCGTTTGTGAAGGAAAAGTTAGAGCTGAGAATTGAGAATTGAGACATCAGCGTTGTGCCATCAGTGGTGCGCAGATATCATTCTGGTCGTAACAAGGAGGTAGGAGGAGTACTGCTGTACCGGAGGAGGAATACTGGAATAGTACTGGGGCTCCAGGCAAGCCCTATACCACTAACGAGTAACGATAACGGGCTCTTACTCCAACTTTCCATGTTTTTTTTTTTTTTTCCCCTTAATGTTGTTTGATGTGTGTCATCTTAAAAATAAGGTGAATACATTTCTCAATTTGCTTCAGAAAAATTAATAACTTATTATCTTTGGGATAAAATTACTTGGCGGACTTGTTACGCGTGCACACTCAAACTTCTTTTTCCTTGAGAGAAGACTCCTATCTAATACTGTCATGTGCCGGGGGTTGCCACATGGAATATTTCCATGTGACTGTCATGTGCGGTTTTATTCTTTTTTTTTTTTTTTTTGTTTAGATTTGGCTGCAACCAATATGTTACCGTTTGGTTTGTAGGAATAGGGATCTGGAATCGGAATTGGAAGGGGCTATTCCGATTCCAACTGTTTGGTTGGACGGAATTACAATTCCATTCCCAATTTTATTGGAATGGCATTCCCCCATTTGAGGGTATTGGCCATTCCGTGCCCCTCTTTTGGGAATGAATTCTATTCCTGCTGATTTTAATTCACATTTCCATTCCTGTTTGAACCAAACAGATTATGAGAATGAATCATTCCGATTCTGATTCTGGAGGATTTCGATTTTCATTCCGATTCCAGTTCTGACTATTAATGAAACGGACCCTAAGATTACGTTGCCTTTTTAACATATATATATATATATATATATATTTTTTTTTTTTTAAACCCTAACTCTTACGTATATATTCCTCTCAACCAAGGCCAGCTGTTAGCAATTTTTTTTGGTAAATTAGTCATTAGCAATTTAGGCCATGTTTGGTTTAAATTCTTGCTTTTATTTATTTTTTGGAAATTAGATAAGAATGAATAAAATTGAGTAGAATGAGAAAATATTGTTATGAGTTTAAATACCTTTTTTCTGAAAAATGAATTCTTTTCAAAACTGACAAGTGCCCTATCTTACTCATTTTCATTCTTAAGGAAAAAAAAAAAAAAAAAAAACGTTAGCCATAAACCACTGACCTAGGTTTCCAAAATCATCACATAAATGCTTACTATGGAAGACCAGTAGTCAATGTCCAGCATAAGTTTCCACAGCAGTTCATTAATAAACATTTATGGCATTGATTTTGTAGACCTAGATCAGTGGTTTATGATGGTTGGAATAGAATTTCTTTTAAGAATGAAAATTGAAATTAACAAGATGGGGCATAATTATTTTTCATGTTGCAGGTTATCTCAATTTTTGTGTTATAAGCTGATTTTTTATTTGAAAAGAATGAGACTCATGACAATAATTTTATAACAAAACACACTAATGTTACTTATTTTTATCCAAAATAAGCAAGAATTAAAAAATGAAACTCAGAACAACAAATCAAACATGACCTTACGTCCTTTGTGGAAGTGATGTGCTGTAAGAATAAGAATATGTTTTCATAATTTTCATTGTTGCTGTCAACCGATAAAATTCTGAATAGGCAATTTGATAATTTTAATTTCAACATTAACCCTAACCTTCAACAAAGTGGGTGAATCCAGAAGTACAAGGGAAGGGAATCTTTGTCAAGTTTGAAGTTTGCAACCCCCTAAACTATAGAGTAGATGGGTGGGTACTCTTTAATTAAAATATAAAATTAGGAAGGCTGACATGGGCCAGTATTTCATACATTTCCACATTATTTCATACATTAGTGCTCAAATATAAATAAAAGAAAAAACAAAATAAAAAAAGAATAAATAATGGTTTATTATCCATAGTGACCCCAAAAATAGATTTTCAGCAATACGTAAATAAGCTCAATATGTCAAGTTAATTGCCTTTTAGTTTTCATCACTGTTATTCCCATCTTTTATTAGAGGATTGTACGGGAGTATTGCAATTATCTATACTACTTTTGAAATGTGAATGAGGTCTAGGTTTTGGAATTTTTTTTAACTAAAATACATTTATTTTTTAAACTTGGTCTAATGAGGGAAAAACATAATTTGAACTAGCAATTTTATTAAATTTATTATGTTACTAAATAAAAGTATTTTTATTCGATGGATAGGAAAATGGTTTCATTTTTGGGTCAAATGGACTAACCCATGATATAATAAATATAAATAATAAAAATGTTAAAAAAGATAGAGACACAAAAATTATTAAAAACATAGTGATTTTGTAAAAAAAAAAAAGCATTTGGGTGCATCTCTAATATTATGTGTTCATCATATTAAACAAAAATAGTGTGATAGATAAAAGTAATTTTTATTAATAATACAGATAGAATTAAAAAGTAAACTATTTGCATACATGAATGTATATGCAATTATATATATACATTTTATGTCAAATTTTGTCATGAGACTAATTGACAGAACCAAATCCAAGTGCATCAAATTTCAATGCAAATAGGGCCCAATCTACTTGACTTGCACCAAAATGGTCAATCGTTTGAATAAATGAGTTAACCAATGTTGTCATAATTAAATAATAAAAATTTAAAAATAGATAGAAACACAAAAAATAAAAAATACATAAAATTTATAGAAAATTTTGACACATCTTAGATATTATAAATTTATCATTTCAAACAAAAATAAGTGTAGTAAACAAGAATTATTTTTAGAATTAATCATGTAAATGGAATAAAAAATTTAAAGTTGCCCAAAAACGAGATTGCTTTTTTTCAAGTCAAATATGTCAGGACATGATGTCATAATTATGTAATAAAAAATTAAAAAATTAATTGAAATAAAAATATAGAAAACAAAAAAATTTGTCTATAAAATGCTGAGCATATCTCTAATATACACAACATGTACACCATGCTTTGATTATTTATCTTTTCAAAATATTAAAAATATTAATGTTATTTGAAATATTGTACACGCATAATATTTACCTGCGATCATAAAAGATGTGAACTCCAATAATAATATTTTGCCATCCCTTGATGAAACATGAATAGGGTTAAGGCCTGTTTATTTCTTTGTAACTCTTGTTTATTAAGAGGAATCTTTTAACTTTAAGAGAAAATTTGTTGTTCGTTTTCTCTTATCTCTTATCTCTTAAAGTGCAATCATACAATTTTTTGTTTTCTAATGATACTTCCAAAAAGACAAACAAAAACTCTTATATATGAGATCAGAATGAATATTTGATAGTTTTCAGAATTCAAAACAACATTCTCTGCATTCAGAGTTCAGTTGAGAGGAAAGAAAAATTCATTGATACCAATATATCTCTTAATGTAATTATTACACTTTCCAATGTCAAACTTTATATCAAACAAACAGCCCTTAGTGATGAATAACCACATGCATGGACCCACAAAACATTATATCTAATTTGCAACACATTGGAAATTTCACCCCATGAATGACAACTGAAATATTCCGGATGCGTGGAACCCTAGTGTTTTGTGGGTAATACATCTGGTCTTATTTCATATGGAGACCAGATTTCTTGCACTCGGATAGGTGTGTGCAAGGGTGTACTTCCAATCAAAATTAAAGACATCATAGTTCACATGTGGGGACCCCAGTCGCATGTACAGAAAACTAAATGATACGTTTTAACATATAATTTTTGAAACTAAAAAAATTGAAGAAAAACCTTACAAATGCCATTAAGGATTGCAGGAAACTCTTTCTTTTTTAAGCTTCGATAAGGGGAGAAAACCATTTGCACAATAAATTAATTGGTTAAATATATAAATAGAGCTTGAAAAGTCTGCCGATATTCTATGATTTATGATCTGGAAGCAACCGATTCCAGTGATCAGTCCTGGAACCTTTGAAATGGAATTTTTGACTAGCTTAATGACCCCCAAAGTAGATTTCTTCTGGCCTCAGATTGGGATTTGTCTAATGTTTCAAAAATTCTGCCATCTTGTTGGGTTTGAGAGCTAGAGGCGAGGGGTGTGAGAGAGGGGAGGAGAAAGCAAGAATGAGAGGGTCTGCATTAATGGCATCCAAAGAAGAAGAAATGGTGAAGAAAGAAAATAATTTCTTGCAAGAGCAAGAGTTTCCTGCAAATCGTTAATGGCGTCTTTCCAGTCTTTGGTTGAAATTCCTCCTTCATTTGAACTGGGTTTTGACTTGCCTATTTTTCACTTTTTCTTTTTTATTTGTTTCAAAAATTATATTATGAAAAACTAGCAGAAAAAATTACCCTTTAATTTTCTCCACACATGTGGATGGGGTGCTTAAGTAAATATGTGTTCAATTTTGATTGGAAGTGCATCCCTGCACGCACCCATCCCAGTGTAGGAAATCTTATCTCTTTCATATTAGCGCTACAAAGGAGTGCTATGAGCAGATCCGGGGCAACTACAGCTGAGATGGCCAGATGGGATCTACTCCTCACAAAGCTTTCCTCACACCGACTCCACAGTCACATTCCACCATGTATTGGGAACATCTCCCATAAATAAGAGATGTTCCCGATGTGAGGCTGGTACATGCTATAACATTGGTGTGAAAAGCACTCTGTGAGGAGCAAATCCCAGACACTGGAAGCTAGAGCTATGGTCATAGTAGATGTGAATCCCCAAGAGGGTGAGACACTGAGACCCTAGCTACTACAATGGGATCACGGGAGCAGGGATTTCACACAAGCCCATCGGATTATAAAATAAGAGCGCATGTTCTTCCAGGATTTTGAATTCACGCTTCTCAATGACAAGGATGCTAACAGGCTTTGAAGTTGTTAAAACCCAGGTCACCTACCACCTTGGGATGCCATCTAATTACTTAGGTTACACCATCACAGGTGAATTACAACATCACAAAGATTAAAAAAAAGACGTTTTTGGAACCAGAAAATTAATCATTATTATGTATATCTATTAAATAAAAATGACATTTTTCAAACCAGAAAATTATTTTTTCTTTTGTATTATTATCTTCTATTAATAAACTGAATATTGATTGAATCTGACCCAATCTAGTATAAATCCATTATGGATGGACTAAGTCCAATCTAATCCAATCCAATAAATACTTTAGACAGTCCAATCCACACAAATTGATTTTGAACACCCCTGTTCCCCTATACTATTATTCGGTGGCCGCTCCTCTATCTTGAATAAATTTAAAAGGGCGGGTTAATGAAAAATGTTATTCACACAATATACTCCTTATATCAATGCTGATGAAATAACATGTCATATTGCAGGAAGAGCCCTATACCCAGGCTAGCTGTTTGAACATACGCATCTAAATAAATTTTCTCAAGAAAAGAGGCAATCGGAATCATGTCTATATCTTCCAAAAATACGTAAATATCCTAAGCTTGTGGTGGTAGATACGTAGGGTTGCAAACGGTATTCGATTATTCGATTCTGAATTTGATTCATTTATAATTGGATCAAATATGAATATATCCTATCCGATGCGATATAATTCGATTTGAATCAATTTAAATATATATGTCATATATATTTAAAAAGTATATTAGATCTGTCATTGAGGTTAGCCTTAATGTTGTATTTTCACTAAATTGCCATATATTCAAGTTTTATATAAATAATTTTCAATTCATTTTATCTATAAAATATATTATTAAAGTCATTTTTAGCTCATCTTATTAATAATATATAATATTTTGGTTATTTTTAGTTTAATTTATTTATACTATTTAATATCCGATTATAATCCTAATTTGATTGGATTTTGCTAGATATTCGATAGATATGATCCGATTTGGATTCGAATGTTAACAAATCAAATTCGGATATGCCTATATCCGATTCGATCAGATCCATTTGCTGATGGGTTCTACTATGATGACTTTTCTTCTTAGAGGGGAACATCCCTCCATGATTTTGTGAGGTATTTATTTCTTCTAAAGCCAAAATTACAAATACAAATATATATAAAATAATGCAAAATACTAGATTTTCTACTTCAAAGAGGCAAATTATATAGTGGTGGTGGCGGTCCAACGGAGGCAGACAATTTGGCTGGCATCTTGCCTCCCAAATATGTTCACGGATCTGCACCGCCTTTTGTATGTGTGTGGGGGAGGAAAATTAAATTTGGGCGTTGGTATTGGGGGGTTTTCTCTGTGTGACACGTTGGTTAATTCTTCCAGCCATGCAACCATAGTGTTGTCAAATGGGCTTTCTTTGCATGACACGTTAATTCAGCCATGCATCCGGCATCGATACCGAAACTAATATCAACAGGATTGTCTATGCATAGTGCTTAGGTGTAAATCGGCCACGGCCCGGCATGGTGACTCTCTCCCCTGAGATAATTTAGGGGTTGGTCTGGTATAACCCACTGGGGCTTATGCTATGCTGTGGGCTAGGTTGATTCATGGGCCGAGCCTTAAGTTAAGCCGGTCTGTGGATTGGACCAAGTTATGAGAGGTCTATTTAAAAAACTGAAAATAATGTTTAAATTTTTATTTTGTATAAATTTTGATGTATACAATTGTTTATATATAATAATTAAATAAACTTGAAAATAAAATTTTATATATATTAATAAATTATATAATTATCATATATATAATATGTAATATAAGGTTCAAAAGTCCAGCAAACGCAATCCATTTGAATTTAAATTGATGTCTTTCTTATCCATTTCTTTCTCCAAAAATCAAGAAAAATCAAAGAAAACCTTAAATTTCTATCTATCAGAAAGAAACCTCTACCTTTAAACAGCTGAATGAAAATATCTTTCAAGGTTAACTGACAGAAATCTAATGAAGGGGCTATTTGTTGCAAAGTGAAAATTCAGCAGGTTTTTGTCGCAGATGAAGCTCCAAGGAGGTAATTGTTGCAAAGTGAAAATTTTATGCTGAACCATAAATTTCTGCTGAAAATGCATGTGGTGGGAGTCGGAGACATGTCCTACTGGGCAGGAACCGAGATCTTTTCATGATTTTAGGTGTACGGTTTTGTTCATGAAAACAAAAACAATGTTGCATCACCAAAAACAATTCAATTTGGCGTAAAAAAAAAGAAAAAACAATTCAATTTTGATAACTTTGGTGACATGGCAACTGTTTTTTGTTTTCACAGACGAGACCGAAAAAGAAAGGGAACTGCCTATTTTCTACTTTCTGGTCACCTCGAGTTCAGATCTATTCCTCAGACCAACCTCACAGCATGTCTCAACCACACATTTGAAAAGAGGTTAGATCTTCCAAAATATCCCAACTTACAAGTCATCCTAGAAGATTAGACATGTAATATCGCAATCCTTTAGGTTGTGAATCTTGGACTTGGAGTGATATATATCCAATAATCCAAGTAGGATAGCTTCTTTCAAGTCTCAAGTCAAGCCAACATGGCTTGTTTGACAGGTTGAGCATAACATTCACAATTTCCCATCAAGGATATTTCCTACTTCCACATCCATATTTACCCCCTGCACTTTCTAGAGCTTAAACTGGCCATTTCCCTTTCATTATTCATAGACTGCTTAAGAAGGAATAACTTAAAGTATGCCGGATTAGAACTGGTCAAGAAAGTAGTCTCCTTGCTTCTAAGATGTTCAAGGATCTGCTTGTTGTGTATGACAGAACCAAGATACCGCCCTTATATAGGTGGCAGAGTGGCAGTTGAATGAATGAATAACTGGACCAGTTTAGGAAAAAGAAAATCCCATATTAAATTTTTACGCTTTTTGGTCGTCTACCAAGCTATTTGAAACCTTGAACATTGACACCATTTTCTTCATTTCCACTTAACTTGATAACTAGTCAACTCCTTGCGGTCGTCTTTTATCTGTTTTTTTTCCTCTTCTCAGTTAATTAGAGCTGCAATTCCCACTCCGTGGTGGGTATCCGCTAAATTTGTCCACCGTTTCCTTCCGTGGATAATGGAATTACAGTGCAGTTTAGCACGTCGCTTTCATAATACCTCCAAAGAAAGTAAACTCGATTCTAATTCTAAGGTGGGCAATGTATTTTAGATAACAGGAAAAAACTGGAGTATTATTCTTCCTTTCATGCATAGACTGAAGAAGAAAGGAATTTAACCAACAAAAAAATTTCTTTTTGAAAAGAAAGAGCTTGATATCACAAATGTATTCAAAAATGTTTCTACTTCCTAGGAGTGTATGCTAGACAAAGTTCCTTCCTATTTGAGAGAAAATAATATAATTGTATCAACTTCAAACCAAGTCCACTATGCAGAGCTTTTCTTTACTTCGTTTCTTGTCTTTTATTTCTTTTAGACGAGAAAGAATGATCATGAAATTTGTACAGTGTTTGAAACCAAGGGGTCTAAGCTTTTCCTTTCCTCTTGTCATCTAAAGCCTGCAAGGTACTATTCAAAATAGGAATCAAATATCAAGAAACCACTACTTAATCATGGAGCATAAAATGATATAAAAGCACTACAATGCTACCTCAACAACTACCAAGCTTCTTTGAACTTGGAATATTTATATCCATGTATTTCAATGAAACAAGTTATATGTCTATGGAGAAAATCAACAGTAAGCTTTCCTGTGGATTGAAAAAAATCACTAAATCTGCAAAATTAACAGCCAACAGTGGAACTTCTAGAATTAACTGTCTAGACTTGTGTTAACAAACTTCAAGAACATTTAGTCCAGATGTATACTAGCAGGTGAAAAAGCACTAGTTTTGGAAAACATACAGTGTTTTTATTAACTTCTCTTTCTGATTCACCAATATTTCTGAAAACAATGATAAGTGTACATAAACCATCCTCTGAACAGCATATCTCTAACTCAAGTATAAGTTTTCTGGTCTGTACTCATGAAATCTCAGTGTTTGTTTCATGCAGAAGTACCAGTTAATAGGTGAATGAGAAGGTGGACCATCTGAAGAAATCTCTATATGGCCTAAATCAATCTATAGGGATGTGATTTGACATGTTACAACTTATAGAAATGCCAAGTAAATCACACCATATTTGTGAAGAGGGATCAAAAGTCAACAATGATATTGCTATAATTGGAGATAAGAACTCTGATTTAGAAGCTAAAAGAGTAGTTGGGTCTTAATATATTTTCGGTTATAAAGTGTAGAGGTACATGGCCTAATGGGCCCTAGTATCATTTTATTTCTTTTCCTTTACTTTGTTATGTTTATGTTAATGGGCCTTGGCCTGTTAACTGTTTTCCATTCTTTTATGCTATGTTTATGAGCTGGCTACCCCATTAAGGGCATCTTTGTAATTATGTCCATTAAGATTAGATTAATAAAAGTGATTAGGAGAAAAGAGAGAGATCTGATCGAACTCTCTTCTCCTTCTCCCTTCTCTCACCTTCTTCTTCCTCTTCTGATTTCTCCTATCCCTAACTCTTTTTTTTTTTTTTCCATTTTCAGATTGAAATACTTATTCTCTTAGGTTGATTTTCATCTTGGTATCAGAGGAACCCTTTTCTCTTCCTTCTTTCTCTTCAATCTCGTACACCCTTTGATTGGAAGAGTGTATGGAGAGTTAGATGCTGATTGTTCTTAGTTGATTGCTGCCTTGTTGGAGAAGGGTTTGGAGATATAGAATCTGTCTTTTGAAATGCCAAGAAGTTACTATTTTTTCTCTTGCCCAAAACCCTAGCTGACTAGAGAGATACACTGTTAAGGGCCAAGGAGGCTGAGTTAGGCTGATGCTTAGGGCTTGGCAGATGCTATTTGACTACTAGTGGAGATTGGTTTCAGTTGGGAAGATTTTTGGAGTCATTGGTTGGAGCAGCTGCAGTTCTCCCAATTCTTCCGGGTTGAAGGGTTTAGTGGAACTCTAGATTTTTGTGATCTCAGTGTTGGATTGACTACAAGTTAGTCTATCTAGGTTAGTAATATTATATTTTGATTTTCGTTTGATCAATGGAACGCAAGAAATTTGTGGTTGTATATTATTCTATGTTGAAGTCCTTGTGGCAGGAGATTGATGTAATGGAAACTATTGTGTGGGAAAGTATCAAGGATATTGAGACTTATAGAAAGATAGTAGAAAGGAACAAGGTATTTGAGTTTCTCACTTGGACTAAACCCTAAGTTTGATATAACTAGACAAAATATTTTGACAAAGGATGAAGTGACTCTTCCTCAAGCATATGCCACGGTAAGTAGTCAAGGTTCAAAGTATCAATATGATACGCCCCCTGTCAGGTGTATCATATTGTATCTTTGGGTGTCCGATGCACCTATTTAGGTGTTTTTAGGACCCATAATATAAAAACCTTTATAAAAGTGAAATTAAAAAAAAACTAAAAAAATAAAAAGTGGTAAAAAAAGTACTGATACACCCTTGCCAATACACAAAGGTGTATGGGTACTTTAAACCATGTCAGTAGTGAAGAAAGTAGGAGACAAGTACAATTGTAGGGATCACCTCCAGCTCCAGAGCATTTTACACATGCAAGAATGAAGTTTAAGGAGACTAATGAAAAGAAAGAAGTAGTATGTGAGTATTTTAAGAAGCCTAAGCATACTAAAGATACTTGCTAGAAACTGCATCCACATCTTTTACCAAAAAGGTTCCAAAATAGCAATAATAATAAGACTGGGAAGACTGGAACTGTAAATATGGCTACTATTCCAAAGGGTGAGAAAGGGCGTGGGGATAAGAAATCAGATATGGAACAATTGACAGTTGTAAAGGTAGAATTTGAACAGCATGGAAGACTTATAAATCACTTGAAGAGCACAGTTGCAGCTTCCAACTCTTCAAACAACATTTCCTCATCCACCTTTGCTCACTCAAGTATTTGTGTTTCAACAAATCATGCCACTATGCAAGGTAATTGTAGAATCCCTTAGATTATGGTGCTTTTGATCATATAGCCAGCATGTCTAACCTATTTAGCTCATACCAACTTCTTTTTGGCCGTGAAAAGATATCCCTTGCAGATGGGTCCCTTTCTCCTATTGTAGGCAAGGGGAACATCAAAACCTCAAAATCCCTTGCTTTATCCTTTGTTCTCTATGTTCCTAAATTTAACATTTTTTCCTACCCATTGTGTCTTTTAGGACTTTAAGTCTCAAAAAATGATTGAGAGTGACCATGAGGTGAATGGGATATACTTGTTAGATACCTGGCAAAAGTCTAGTACCACCTCAAGGAATTGCTTTGGAGTCTATTTCATTAGAATTTGTTAATCAAGTCATGTTATGTCATTTATGTTCTGGTCATCTTTCTTTTTCTACTTTGAGTCATTTGTTTCCAAAACTATTTAAAGGAATAACTTTCTATATACTTCATTGTGAGTCATGTGAACTTGTAAAGCATTGTAGAAATTCTTATCCATTAAGTAATAAAAGATCGGCTTCCTTTTATATTGTTCACTATGATGTGCAGGGGCCTTACCGTTTACCTGCTATGGGTGGCTACAAATACACTATTCTTTCTGTTGACAATTTCTCAAAATTTACTTGGATTTACCTCATGCATTCTCATGATGAAGCTCCATCCATTGTGCGGAATTTCCATAAATTTATTCTTACTCAGTTTAATATTCGTATCAAAATATTCCGCTTTGATAATGCCAAGGAATATTTAAAAAAGAACATTTCATCATACCTTGGTACCTTTGGGGTTGTTCATTAGAGCTCCTATACCTACACTAATGGAGTGGCGAAAGGAAGAATCATCATGTGGTTGAAGTTGCTAGGAGCCTTGTTTTGCATCCCATGTTCTAGTAAAATTTTGGGGAGATGTTGTTCTTATTGCCACCTATTTGATAAACCGTATGCCTTTTTGAGTTTTGGGTTTCAAGTCATCTTTTAGTTTCCTCTTACATAATGAGGATATTTTCCCTCTTCCTCTTCAGGTTTTTGGTGTTCTTTCTATGTTCACATTCCCAGCCATCAAAGGCATAAGTTTGAACCTAAGGCCCATTAACATTAACAAAACAATTAAATAAGACAAGAAATAAAAAGACACTAGGGCCCATTTGGCTCAATCTCTCTACAAGAAATTGAAAGAAATGATGAAGGCATGTTCATTTCCCAAAGGACCTAGCCCTAAAAAGTGCATACTCTCTAAAAAGGACCAAACCAGACTACAAAACTTCGAAAGACCGATCCCTAAGATCACCTTATTCAATTGGCTGGATTAGGGCTAAATGAAAGAAGAAACCTAGATTGAGACTAGGCTCTGATACCAAGTTGTTGATCTAAGTACACTTAGTCTTGATAGTTTTATGTATTTGAATCAGAAAAGAAATAGTTGCAGCACTGAAAACAAAGTAGAGAAATAGAGAGATGAGAAGAGAGATTGGGAAGAAGAGATTGCAGGGCTCTCTATAGAGTCTCCATCTTTTATACGTTATGTAATAAAAGGTAAACTACCAGTCTGCCCCTACTTAGGTGGCAGTAGTTATAATGTCTTAAAAGAAATAGGCCAGGCCTAATAATAAAGCACAATGGTAAAGAAACATAACATAGGGCACAATAAAAACAGAAAAGATCACTCCTTTCTACAATTGCATAGAAAAGTAAGAAGCAAATCATAGTGGTGACATCAAGTGTAGAACTTGAATATGGAGACATGGATAAATGTTTGATGAGTGGGGCTTTCTGGTTTTATGAACAATGTCTCAATTGTAACAAGATAGCTGTTAATATTGCTTATAACTCATTTGTGAAAAGATTGAATGGGGTAAAATGTGTCTCTCATTTATAAGCTCCAAAAAGCAATTGGTTGGCAAGTTGGATATGCATGACATATATACTGTTCTTGAGGGAGATTGTTGTAATTCTTAGTTTATTGGTTATTATTTAAGTTTTTGTCTATATGGGAAAGGTAAATTACAATTATATACAGAGAATTATTCTACGCCAAACAACCTATTATAATACTGTACATCTTTACTAGCTCATTCCTTCAGCCTATGAATTGGCTGTAACTAGCTTTCCTAGACTTATTGGGTAGGTTACCAAATAACCTACCTAATGAAACAAAGCGAATGGGAAAGTTTTGATCCCTCTCAAATTTACTCTCAATATGGTACTAAGTTCTCAATAGCAAGATATTACATTAATATTTCTAGGGCCAGCCACATCAATCTCAATTTATTCCCAATAAGACTAATCAGTAGGAGATTTGTGTAACAAGTGATACCTTGCTTTGGAAGTTTCGCATAGTCAGCACTAGAGTATCACGCATTCTGCACAAAAAATAAAAGCATCATTATATTGAGAACTTGGAAAATTTTTGGTATATGTCATGAGATGCATTTTTCTTTTTGTACTTTGACACGGGCAGTTTTGTCCAGTCAGCTATTTTATAAGAAACTCTAATATAAAGTGGGTGCCATCACTTATGATAGTTTTCTGACTTTCTCATTATTCTCTAAATTCTTCTGATTCTCTCCTCCTCTTATTCTTTTACTTGTGGATATTCTATGACAGATTACATGGTATCAGAGCATAATTTGTCATAGCAAGGACTAGTTTCTCTCTCCTTAGAAGATCTTATTGACTGGATCCTGCAAGAACAGAAAACACTAGTACCAGGACTGATTGGATTACTTTTTTCCCCTTTTTTTCTTATTTTACCTTGGTTGTGAGACCAAGATTTATTGTCTGGGATTTCTGTAGCAGTGAACAAAGCATGTGAGAGTGCTGTTAGGGTGTCTTTTTCTGGTAGCAAGCAAATCTGTGTCATGGGGATCTGTAGGGCTGCAGTTATGCTTTAGGAAGGCCCAGAAAGGTGCAGAGTATGCTGTGTGGTGCAAGGAGAATACCACAGTTATGTCCTGGTTGCTTGCCTCTATGACTCCTCGGGTTGCCAGGACTGTTCATCACTTTCCTACAACAACCAAGATTTGGGAAAAGGTATCTAAGACCTATGGATGAAGAAAAACAATGCTAGAATCTACAGATTGAATCAAGACATTGCGGCCTTAAGGCAAGGGGATATGACAGTTGCAACATATTTTGCAACTCTGGAAGGCCTTTGGGAAGAACTTGACCATCACTTGATATTGGATTGGGAAAATGCCAGGGACAAGGAGAGACATGATAAGCAGATTGAAGAGAGCAGAGCCTTTAAGTTCTTGGCTGGCTTGGACCCAATGTATGAGGGTATAAGGTCACAAATTCTAG